GGTTCTACGAGGTAATAATAAATCGTTACTGTGTTGTTAATTTCTGTTGTAAATATTTATTAAATATATTAAACCGTTAACACTAACTAGCTTGATACCGTACGACAAATAGGAAATCTTCTCGTAAATATGTCCAGAATAATATGCGTACAAATTAAACACATTAAGTTATAGATTAATAATGTGCAACAATTAATAATTTTGTTAGCAAAATCAGTTTGTCACAACTTCATAGATTTTCCCAATACACTATAAGTTTCAATTTGATATATTATATTAGCAAATCATATAATTTTTTACTTTGAGTACAACACACTTTTCTGTTTGCAATATTGAGCGGAGCAAGCTCATTAATCTAACTTGCGATAAAATAAATATAACCACGAATTGATTGTTCTCAATGAACTCGGGTCATTTTAGGCCCTAGGGATGAAATATAATAATGCTTTTCGCTAGTAATAAATGTCCTATAAATTTAAAAAGAAATTTCTGCAAACTTCGGTGTAAACGTTGCTGAAGTGTTTGCTCAAATAGATGTGGCATGATTTAAAAACACTCGTATACAAATCTGCACAATATACAGACCCTTTAAACGATTAAGGAAGAAACATATTCGAATGTATTGGCCCACTAATTACATTAAAATAACTTATATCCTAATTTTAACATATTTTAATAAAGTAAAACCTATGTAATAAGTGCTTTAGTGACAAATCCATTTTACATAATTGCATAGTTTTACTATTAATCAGAATATTAAACATGATGAAGGGATATTAATGAAATAATCGATGAAATATTAGTAATTAAGAAAAGTCAATATTAAATTAATAGGGTTTCGTAATGCAACCCTTAAGAAAATAAATTTGATAATAGGAGTACACTTTTTGAGGTGAGAAAACCCATTCTTTTGGAGGAAATTGCTATTATTTTAGTGTTTTTGTCACTATTTATGCAAGAGTTTAGAAAACTTTGAGTAGCAAGTCATGTTTAACTTAAAACTATTATCAAACATGAATTGTATTAATATTTACGTAACCAAGGATAAATATTTATGCCCTTGGTTACAATGCAACCAAATTTCCTTCCTAATAATTTAGCGATAAGACCAACTTTAAGGAGATATAAGTTCAGTTGTGTCAAATCTAGGAAAGCTGATATTCATACAAGATGTGTTTTTGTTGAGATAAAAACGCTAGCAATAAAATCAAACCTAAGATTTAAAAGCATTATAATAAATAGTAAAAATTATCCCTACAACGTTTGTGCAGTACTTTATTCATTTTATATGTAAGTTGTCTTTATTCTACGAATTGCTGTTATCCTAATCTTTTTTCCCGTATTAGATGTGTCCTTAATGTATTTTGCTTGTCCTTTTTGTTTATATTTTTTATTCGGTTTTGGGGTTAAAGCAAAACATTTGATTGACACAATAAAAAGTAATTCAGTTTGCTTATTTATAATTGATTGCAACAGAGATAGTGTTTAGTATAAACTGATATTAAGATCAGTCATAACATACACTACAGTTTGTTGTGAGAGATGAGCAAACTAGGGAAGTTGTTTTGAGAATCTCTCTGCTTGTTATTTAACTAAGTGGCGATAGCTCTAACTAATTAATCCACAACCAAGTTGAGATGAGTTGAGGATATTAGCTAAATTGTTGTATTGGGACTTGTAAATTACAAAATTCGATTTTACATTAGCAATAAATTTAACTTACGAGCTCTTTTATAAATCCTAATTATTCTTGTTTAATGATTAGAACATCTGAGAATAAATTTAAGACAAAGGAATTGCTATGTTTTTAATCAAGGCTATTGTAATTGTAAAACTCAGAATTCTAAAATATGATCAAATTTGTAAGTTTTATGTAAATTAGACACAAATGTGAATAAGAAGACAGTATGGAGTAGGCAATAAAAGTACTATCGTTGTTAACATTGTTCGTGCAAATAATAATAAAAACGTTTCAACAAAATGTCGTTATAGGCCTATTATTAAAGATTTTTGTATTGATGATGTATAAATATTCTAAAATGAAGATTCCTACTAAAAAATGTAAAAAAATGGTTGATGGTTAAAATATCACTCGAAAGCGAAATACGGAAAGAATTACGCTTGAGAATTCTAACGTGAGTTTGAAGACCTTCTACTGCCATTAACGTCGCCCATCAAGAAAAGAATGGAATTCAATATCATTTAGCAGTAAACTATAGAAAACGTTTATCTTCCTGTTGAAAACTGGAAGTTAGCTTACCTGTTGTTAATCTTCCTAAAGTAATCTTTAAAATTTAGTGTAATAATGCCAGTGAACATCTGTACAAATTATTTTCACTGACATTTTTTACCTAACAGAAAATTGAACTCCGATGCGCGATATAAGTAAATGCCACGATATTCGTATACATCTCCTGATTTTAAACAAATTCTTTAATAATGGGAAATAATTAATAGTTAAAATTGTCGCAAACTTGTCCACAATATCATATACAGTGTGTAAATGAAGTATTGAAACAAATCTGTATTTTTAAAACCGAAATAGATATAAATATTCGTTGTTTTGCTTTTTAACAAAGAATCCGCAATTTTTTACATCAAAAATATTCCTACCCCCCCTAGCAGGCAGGGTAGGTGGTGACTTATTTTTTTCAAATAGCAACCCCTGTTAAATGAAGGGTTCGTCAAAAGAAACACAATGACACCAACCTGAGGTGGATATCTCACCCCTAGCCAAAATGGCAGGTATTCCAAAATTTGATTTATGTGGAAAAGCACTAATTTCACAAATATGGAAACAAATCTGTATTTTTTAAAACCAAAATATATATAAATATTCTGTTCGTGGCATTGATTTTTAACAAAGGATCCGCAATTTTTTACATAAGAAATATGTTTAACTCCCTTAACAGGGTAGTTGGTGGGGGTGACTAATAAAAAAAATAAAAAAATAACAACCCCTATTGTGTGACCCCTCATTTTGAAGGGTTTGTCAAGACATGAGCAATGGTGCAAATCTGAATTCGATATGTCACCCCTAGCCAAAATGGCAAGTATTTAAAAATCTTAAGGATGAAATAATGTTGTAAAATTTGAAAAAAATATTTGATATCAATTAATGTTATTAGTGTGACACGGGCTATGAAATGAGGGGTCACTCAATAAGAGTGGCTTTGTCAGGCATTTAAATGTTTAATTAGTGAAATGAGTGCATTTTCATCCAATCAAATTTTTAAATAACTGCCATTTTGGCTAGGGGTGACATAGGTTTGCACCATTGCTTATGTCTTGACAAACCCTTCAAAATTAGGGTCACTCAATAGGGGTTGCTTTTTGGAAATAATAAGTTACCCCTACCCCCTACATTAGGGGGGTTAAAAATATGTTTGTTGTCAAGAATTGTGGATCCTTTGTTAACAATCAATGCCACAAACATAATATTTCTATCTATTTATGTTTAAAAAATACAGATTTGTTTCAATATTAATTTACACACAGTATATACAAATATTCTGTTATCGAACTTAACGATAAAAAAAACCCAAGCATCTGATCCAGTATGGTGTTTTCTAAAACCCCGCTGAATATTAAGTTCTTTCCAACAATGTCATAACATACGAGAAACAATAACCGGGACGAAGTAATATAACAGGCGCGGTAAGGGAGGCGGACCCCTATGTCGGGGTTATTCATTGTATGCTAAACCGATTTTAATCACAAAGTTAATAATTTTGTCATACCATCTACACTTCTCTCTTCGGATACTTATGAGGGAAAACCCTCGCCTCAGCAAAAATGCAAACCAAGGGAATTTAGATTTTGTCGGATTTGATTTTTACAAAAACTATTGCCTCAAAAGTGCCAGATTTATTCCCCAAGAGTCCAAAGATTTTCATAGCAAAATATTTTTTCATCCCAGAACACATGACTTGCTGATAACTCTACACCGATAACAGGACCTCTTACCATCAAAACAGAAAGAATTATATGGTTAAATGCATCAGTATGTGAATGAATCCATCAGTGTGTTTTGAAAGAGTTGGGAATTGTGATCGAACGTTCCCAGAACACAAACACAAGTCTTACTCTATTTATATCTTTGTTTCGAAAGAGTCGCGATCGGACGAAAACTCAATAATATCCTTAGTTTCAAGTATTTGTGTTTCAAAGTGTTTTGAGAGAGTGGTGGTAGATTGTATTTCCGAGAATTCCGAGAGATTGTCGATCGAACGAAATACAAATTTACACAAATACCATTAATATTATAAATACGCCCACCACAGCAAACCTGTAAACTAAGCAATTTAAATATAATTAGTTTAACTTAGGTTTGCTGCAACAGGAAAGGTAAAAGTGTTTTTAGTTTAGTAAGAAATTAATGCATTTTACAAATTTGATCAAAATATGTTCATAAACAAGCAAACTACAACAGTTTACTTATTCTCCATAAGAATAACATGGCAATTTTCAATTAAATATTCTCCGTAACCATTAGGTGCATAATAACGCTTCAATATACTAAATTATTTGGTTTTTTAGCTCTACAAAATGGTTTGGAAATAAGTTGCTAAATGTTATATTTTTGGGGTCAAAAATGGGAAAACCTAATTTGTACCCCCATGAAACCCCCCATTAACCCCCGTTCCCATAGTCCGATCATGCTGGTTCGCGAACTCGTTCGAATAAATGTAGGTTTACACGTTTATACCAAATTTCATTAAAATCAGATTATGTTTGCTCGAGTTACCGTGCTAACGGACACATATATATATATATGAATTTGAACGGATGGTGTTTTTGGCCTCTAGGAACCTCAAAACGAAAATGTAAATCAGACCTGGGTCCAGGTCTTACCATGAGTACTACGGTAATAGCTTATTCCTTATATGGGAAATTCGCTAAAACGTCTTAACACTTATCTTTATAAAATAAATGAGGGTCTTCTAGTTATCTAATAATCCAAATATGTTCTAGTTTCAATCGTAGCATATGTGTTTCAGAGTGTTTCGAGAGAGTGGCGATCGGCCGCCGTCTCAACAATACAGACGTTAGCCGAACACTGACCACCCGAACTGTGAACCAATGCGAGCAGGAGTGTGAGAGAGAGCAGTGCAATGCTTACAGTTTCGGGTGAGTACCGTTTCCCCTAAAGCACCAGCCCCTAATTTTCGATAATAACGTCGGTATGGTTTGGTAAATATTCTCTTAACTACGATGGAAAGGATTGAACATAATTTTATCCCATGATTTATACGAAGTAATTTATAATCTATAAGTCTGTATTGAAGAGAATGTAGTTTTTCATAAATATATAGGTACTTACTGTCTTCGCAATCCTTATTTGGTTATAACTCTAAGGCCGTTATGGACATTACTCCATCGTCGGGTGTAGTCGTACACTAAACTAAAATACTGTTGTATTTACATTTTTCACTATTTTTTTTATATTTTCATTGCGTTAATTGTTAATAAACAGTACATATACAACACAAAACTATTAAAGCACGTCAACGGACAAAACTGGTGACCGAGCCTTATCACTGCAAGAGTAGGTGGACGACTGGCATGTCTCATGTTATATATGCACTATTTATTAACAATTGACGCAACGAAAATAAAGAAATTCCGTGAAAATGTAAATACCACAGTATATCAGTTTAGTATACGACTACACCCGACGTTACAATCTCCGAAACGGCCGTAGTGTTATATATAACTAAATAAGGATTGTGAAGATAGTAAGTACCTATATATATACACACGCAATGTGCCATACTGAAATAGTATATTACGTTACTAGTCCTGAAAATAGGTGTTTGCCGGACGAGTGTGGTCGTTCCCGTGCGAGACGAAGTCGAGTACGTGATTACCATACGAGTCCGGTACACACATTTTGGACGAGTGACGTACGATAGTTTACGCCATACTACTAAATCTGTACAAATCCTTATATATCACCACCAACTAAAGGAATAAAAATCTCTAAGTCATAACCTGTAAGAGAGGCTATGTTTTTGTTTATAACTACTCATTGTCACCCAAATACAGTATAATCAGCTGATAGGTGTCCGGTAAAACTCATTACAGTTCAGTAGTACGCAATGAAACCCTATTCAATTAAGCTGGCGGCAAACAGCTGTTTTCTGGACTAAATCCTTGCGTGGGAAGCTCGTCAAAATAGTCTAGTGTGGCGTAATAGTATATTACGTTACTAGTCCTAAAAATAAGTGTTTACCGGACGAGTGTGGTCGTTCCCGTGCGAGACGAAGTCGAGTACGGGATTACCATACGAGTCCGGTACACATATTCTGGACGAGTTACGTACGATAGTTTACGCCATACTAATAAATCTGTACAAATCCTTATACAGGGTGACCGTTAAGTCTTAGGACGTTTTTATAACTTTTAAACGACAAACGATATCACAACCACATTTAGTATACCGTTAACTGGAAATTGTAAGCTACTTTTCTGTGTACATGGTGGTCGGATATCACCTTTGGGGGACGGCTCATCGGGGGTCAGAAGAAAATCTTTAATGACAGCCTATGTTGAGTTGTACATCATTTTAAAGGTCTACTTCAACTGAAAACAATGCCGCAAACCGCACTTCAAAAGGTTGATCCTGCGCAAAATGGCAGATGTTCAAAGATTTACAAAATTAGCCAATTTCTTTAAATTAAAACACTTTTTTAAATCTTTAAACAACAAAACTGTCATTTTTTAACGGATGGTCCTTTTGAAGTTCGGTTTTCGGCATTGTATTCTACTAATAAAAACCTTTAATTTGATGTGCATATCAACCTATGCTTCCATTCAAGATTTACTTCCGACTCCTTGTGGGCCGTCGCCCTGAAGAGTTATTTGGATCACTGAATTTGAAGTTATGGGAATCATTTTAAATGGAATTTTAAGCAAAGAAGAATGCCGCAAACCGTACTTCAAAAGGACCATCCGTTAAAAAATTACAGTAGTTTAAAGATTTAAACAAGTTTAAAGAAATTGACTAATTTTGAAAATCTTTGAACATCTGCCATTTTGCGCAGAACCAACCTTTTGAAGTGCGGTTTGCGGCATTGTTTTCAGTTGAAGTAGACCTTTAAAATTATGTACAACTCAACATAGGCTGTCTTTAAAGATTTTCTTCTGACCCCCAACGGGCCGTCCCCCAAAGGTGATATCCGACCACCATGTACACAGAAAAGTAGGCAATTTCCAGTAACGGTATACCAAATGTGGTTGTGATATCGTTTGTCGTTTAAAAGTTATTAAGTCGTCCTAAGACTTAACGGTCACCCTGTATATTTCCACCACTAAAGGACTAAAAATCACTAGTCATAACCTCTCCGGAGAGGTTATGTTTTTTTTTTTTATAACCATTCATTGCCACCTAAATACAGTATAATCAGCTGATTGGTGTCCGGTAAAACTCATTACAGTACAGTAGTACGCAATGAAACCCCATTTGATTAAGCTGGCGGCAAACAGCTCTTTTATCCTTGCGTGGGAAGTTCGTCAAAATAGTATAGTGTGTCGTAATATTATATTACGTTACTAGTCCTGAAAATAAGTGTTTACCGGACGAGTGTGGTCGTTCCCTTGCGAGACGAAGTCGAGTACGGGATTACCATACGAGTCCGGTACACACATTTTGGACAAGTTACGTACGATAGTTTACGCCATACTACTAAATCCGTAGAAATCCTTATATATTTCCACCAACTAAAAGTCTAAAAATCACTAGTCATAACCTCTAAGAGAGGTTATGTTTTTGTTTATAACCACTTACTGCCATCTAAATACAGTATAATCAGCTGATTGGTGTCCGGCAAAACTCATTGCAGTACAGTAGTACGCAATGAAACCGCATTTGAATAAGCTGGCGGCAAACATCTGTTTTCTGGATTAAATCCTTGCGTGGGAAGTTTGTCAAAATAATGTAGTGTGGCGTAAAATCATTTTTTCGTAAGTTTTATGTAGGATTTTCAACCTTTATTGGTACTTGCTACTGTGTCCAGCTACGATAGCGTCTCTGGCGTAAATGGAGAAAGCTCATTCAGATTTAATGAGATTAACTCCAATATGATGTCTGTTATACATGGAAATTATTGTTAAGCAACCAAATTTGAATCAATAATTTAAGATCAACAAATTCAATTTAAATAAATCGCGAAACTAAATCTTTGCTTTCGTTCTAAATATATGCTGTTGCTTAAATTCCCTACCTATACACCGGAATTCATATTAGAAGTAGACTTCTCTTCTCACTGTAAATTTTGAAGCTCGTTTTTCGTGTCTAGTTCATGTCCGGTGACACTGATCGGTAGTGACGAAATGTCGTTTCTGTTATTTGGTTATTTGTGCTTTACTGTTTGGTTATATGACTAGGGAACGAGTTATTTGTTATGATTAGATCGTTTTATTTGGTTTAAAGAGGTTTTAAATGACTGAAATAGCACAAAACACATAGTCTAGAGTGCACCGCACAGAACTAACAATAAAACTTGATCAGCTGTTACATAAGGATGAGAGATCTTATAAGGGAGTATGTAATAGCTATTGTTTCATATGACAAAACATATTCTCTTATTCTCAAGCTTTGATTTTCGACAAATGAATTGTTCTAGTTTTAACCAAATGTATTCCTACGTAGTAACATAACTAATTAGTCTAGAAATTATTGGATTTCCAAGTACAGTATAACATTTTATTATGTCGAGGTTGTAATTACTATAACATTATTCATGTACTGAAGTGAGATGCAATGCAAATCCGATGACTATTTTATGATGGACTATTAATATTTTATAGTACTCACTATCAATCAATTGAACCAGATAAATAACATACTGGTCATATTTATCTCTAATTCATCTCATAATGAAACTCCATACATCCCATATGAGCATGAATTTAAATATGAATCCATTCGAATTGCAGATGTATATTCCCAATAGGGGCAAATCTCAATGGACAGAATACTGAAGGGAAATACGATGCTATTTGTAGATCTAGTGGAGATGCAAACGGCGGTGGAGTGTTTGTTTCCAAGTTTCAATTTGTTTTAACAGAAACCCCCGACAAGTTGAACTAATGATGCAGAGAGTGTCAAAGCAAACAAAATGGTTCGAACATTCTTGCTATACATTCCGCACAAATGACGTTCTCACAAGTCACAAATATGTGTCGTCCGATATCACTTGCCAAATGTTAAGTAGTAATATGTGAACTTTGATGAAATACAGGGGGTGACGTTGAAGCTCAAATTATCATTGTTAATTTATAATGGCAAAAACGCTTTTACGCCACACTACACTATTTTGACGAACTTCCCACGCAAGGATTTAGTCTAGAAAACAGCTATTTGCCGCTAGCGTAATCAAATGGGGTTTCATTGCGTACTACTGTACTGCAATGAGTTTTACCGGACACCAATCAGGTGTTTATACTGTATTTAGGTGGCAATGAATGGTTATAAACAAAAACATAACCTCTCTTAGAGGTTATGACTAGTGATTTTTAGTTCTTTAGTTAGTGGTAATATATAAATATCCGTACAGATTTAGTAGTATGGCGTAAACTATCGTACGTAACTTGTCCAAAATGTGTGTACCGGACTCGTATGGTAATCCCGTACTCGACTTCGTCTCGCACGGGAACGACCACACTCGTCCGGTAAACACTTATTTTCAGGACTAGTAACGTAATATAATATTACGACACACTATACTATTTTGACGAACTTCCCACGCAAGGATAAAAGAGCTGTTTGCCGCCAGCTTAATCAAATGTGGTTTAATTACGTACTACTGTACTGTAATGAGTTTTACCTACACCAATCAGCTTATTATACTGTATTTGGGTGGCACTGAGTGGTTATAAACGAAAACATAACCTCTCTTAGAGGTTATGACTAGTGATTTTTAGTCCTTTAGTTAGTGGTAATATATAAATATCCGTACAGATTTAGTAGTATGGCGTAAACTATCGTACGTAACTTGTCCAAAATGTGTGTACCGGACTCGTATGGTAATCCCGTAACACTCGTCCGGTAAACACTTATTTTCAGGACTAGTAACGTAATATACTATTGTAAAGTGCTTACACAGTTTTTACGATAACTCATTTAA